TATAATCGAACAAGTTGAGCCCTATGATGTCTCAAATGATATTCTGAATATGAAATCTTCTGCCACCATTGCCCAATAGTTACAAGTTCCTGCCCAACGCAAAAATCTTGCTAGAATTATGCAAAAGAAAAAAGAACCTATCTCAGAAGCAAACCAAGCTGAAATTGACCAACCAAAAAAGACCACAGCAATGAGATATCTTATTCAAATTAAAGAAAATTCTGTTGTAGCTATTCTTGATTCAGGAGCAGCTGTAAGCATTATCACAGCCAAGCTCATGAAGAAATTAGGACTCCAAATCTAGAGACTTTCTAAAACTATTGTGGTTACTGCTAACGGAAATCGTACCAAAGCCTTAGAAATTATTCCTGATGTAAAAATTACTATCCAAGATATTATTATCCCTATTAACCTGCAAGTGATTAAATCTATGGATGAAACCCTTCTCCTTGGAACAGATTGGTTCAACAAATCACAAGCCAAGTTAGATTTTGAAAATAATACATTAAATATTCGATACTTAGGAAAGAAGGCTACTACTAATGCTACTCATATACTAATTTCTATCCTATCTTAGAGGAAGTAGATGAAGATGATAAAGATCAATGGATCAATGAACTAGAAGAGAATGATGAGGAAATAGAAACTTATTACTAGAAGAATGGCCTCCAGTGATTAATGAACTATATTACAACCCTTGGTCTGACATAGAAGTTACTCCTGCTTTTCATCTAACCCAATTGTTAGAAGAAAAGATTTATTCTGTTAAAAACCCAAACCTAAACGTAAACCTTGAACTTACCAAAGACCAACATGATCAAGCCAACCAACTCCTAATGGAAAACATTAATATTTTCTCAGAAAATATCTTAGAAGATAGACAATCCAAAGAATTAGGACAAACTGATATTATTTGTCATGAAATCAATACAAATAACTACCAACCTATCAATACCCTCCAGATGAACAAGACTTTCTTCAAAAAGAAATTCAAGCAATGAAAGAAAAGGGAATTATCAGAGAATCTTTTGGACCATGGTCTTTTCCTGTTGTAATTGTACCAAAGAAAGATAGATGAAAAAGACTTTGCATTGATTATAGGAAACTCAATGCTATTACTGAAAAAGATGTTTACCCATTACCGACAATCCAAGAAATTTTAAACTCATTCAATGGAGCTTCTTGGTTCACTAGCCTGGATCTAGCTAGTGGATATTGGCAAGTCACTATGAAAGAAAAAGACAAAAAAAAAACTGCCTTTATTACAAAATTTGGAACCTATGAGTTCAACGTTATGCCTTTTGGACTCACCAATGCGCCCGCAACATTTCAAAGATTAATGGATAAGATACTTCACCCATATATTAACAAATTTGTAGTAGTATATCTAGATGATATTACTATTTACTCCAAAACCTTTCAAGAACATTTGGATCATGTTTAACAAGTTATAAATATTCTCAAAGAAGCCAATTTAAAGTTAAATTTGGCAAAATGTTATTTCTTCCTAAATAATATTAAGTTCTTAGGACATATTATTGGAAAAGATAGAATCAAAACAGATGAATGACTAGTTGACAAAATCAAAAATTTCCCAAAGCCTACTAATCTTAGACAATTAAGAGGATTTCTAAAAATTGGCTCTTATTATCGTCAATTCATAGAAGGATTTTCTAAAATTGCTAAACCTTTAAACCAGTTACTAAAAAAGAATAAACCCTATCTATAGACAGAAAAACACCAACAAGTCTTTGATGCTTTTAAAAACTATCTTATCTCAGACCCTATTTTACAATATCCAGACTTTAATCGACCTTTTTATCTGCATACTGATGCTTCAACCTCAGGATTAGGAGCAGTTCTATCTTAACTAAATGATGACCATAAGGAATATATCATTGCTTATGCTAGTAGAAGTTTAAATAATACTGAGCAAAATTATCCTACTACGGACTTAGAATGTTTACCTCCTATTGCTAAACAAGATACCAAACCCTATACCTGATTTGAAGTATTCTCTAATGGTTTTAAATGTACAATGGACCATTATTTAATTGGAGTTATATCCAGCAACTCTTACAAAAATATAGAAGAAATACTAAGAACAACAAATATCTAATTAGTTGGAAAGGCCCCAATATCCAATGCTAGTGTCGACATGTTCATCTGTAACCTCAATCTATCTGTTACCAATGTAAAAGAGATTGTTGTGTATGTCAACTCTGAAAAGAATCTCTCTAAATATAATAATTAGATGTTTTCCAAAAACAAATTCCAGTCTCTAAAATTGAAAATGAAGAAGTTAAAATCTTCCATTTAACTGCTATGGAGGATGTTGAAGAAACTTTTACAGATATACAAACTACAATAGAT